CACCCGGCCCTATTCCTTTAATTTCTTAATAAACATGCTTTCACTTTACTTTGTGGACTTGTCCTGAATTCCTTCTTGCATGAGGTCCAAGAATCCTCTCTTGGGGTCTGGATTGGGACCCCTTTCCAGTAACAAAATTACAGCTAGATAAGAGGAATAACTTCTAGTGTTCCACAGCACTGTAGGATGACTATAGTTAACAATATGTTATCTAGTTTCCAATAGCTAGAAGGAAGGTATTGAATTTTCCTAACACAAATAAAGGATACATGTTTGAGATTATAAATATGCTAATTAACCAGGCGCAGTGGCTCACGACTGTAATCCCAGCACTTTGGGAGGCCGAGGCGGGTGGATCACGAGGTCGACAGATCGAGACCATCCTGGTCAACATGGTGAAACCCCGTCTCTACTAAAAATACAAAAAATTAGCTGGGCATGGTGGCACGTGCCTGTAATCCCAGCTACTCAGGAGGCTGAGGTAGGAGAATTGCTTGAACCCAGGAGGCGGAGGTTGTGGTGAGCTGAGATCGCGCCATTGCACTCCAGCCTGGGTAACAAGAGCGAAATTCCGTCTCAAAAATAAATAAATAAATAAATAAATATGCTAATTACCCTGATCTATTCACTATACATTATATGTATCAAAACATCACTATGTACCCCCAGAATATGTATAATTATTATTGGTCAATTTAAAAATAATCAAAATAAAATTTTAAAAGTTAAAAAATAAAAAATTAAGTGGCGATGCCACTTGATGCAGTAACAGCAAATTAGGATCTGTCAAAATAAAGTGAACTTTTTTTTTTTTTGAGATGGAGTCTTGTTCTGTTGCCCAGGCTGCTGGAGTGTAGTGGCTGGATCTCAGCTCACTGCAGCCTCCACCTCCTGGATTCAGGCAATTCTCCTGCCTCAGCCTTTTGAGTAGCTAGGATAACAGGCAGGAGCCACCACACCCAGCTAACTTTTTTGTTTTTGTTTTTTTTTTGGAGACGGAGTTTCCCTGGTTACCCAGGCTGGAGTGCAATGGCGGGATCTCGGCTCGCCGCAACCTCCGCCTCCTGGGTTCAGGCAATTCTCCTGCCTCAGCCTCCTGAGTAGCTGGGATTACAGGCACGCACCACCATGTCCAGCTGATTTTTTGTATTTTTAGTAGAGATGGGGTTTCACCATGTTGACCAGAATGGTCTCGATCTCTTGACCTCGTGACCCACCCGCCTCGGCCTCCCAAAGTGCTGGGATTACAGGCATGAGCCATCGCGCCCGGCTCTTTTTTGTATTTTTAGTAGAGAAGGGGTTTCACCATGTTGGTCAGGCTGGTCTCAAACTCCTGACCTTGTGATCTGCACACGTTGGCCTCCCAAAGTGCTGGGATTATAGGAGTCTCACTCTAGCCTGGCGACAGAGTGAGACTCCGTCTCAAAAAAAAAAAAAAAAAAATATATATATATATATATATATATATATATATATGTATGTGTGTGTGTATATATATATACATATATATATAATCTGTTCTAAAATGCTATACATACTAATAAACTATATGCTAACATACATCTATATATCTATATATCATAATGATAAATTTAAAATTAAATATATTACCATTAAATATGTGTTACCATTATCTGGATTGTGACCAAGTGAACACTTTGGAAACCTTCAATAAAATGGTCTCTGTAACTGTAGTAGGAAATGGAAAAACAGAACAAAAACATTATCTAGTATATTGACATTTCAGTCTGGATCCTTTTCTGAAGAAAATTAAGTCAGCGCTAGTTTGAGCCGAAGTTCCAGAAGGGCTTTGCTGGTTTTAGTTGTTGCTACTTGAGGAACAAAGATGTTATTCAAGTAGCAGAACTGAAAATTATCTCAAGGTCTGGGCCTCTTTCCCTTCAAACTCAGATTTGAATGGGAACAATTGGCCTTTAAAATACACATTCATTCCACTTTTGTTCACTCAGTAACCTTTCAACACTTGGTATGCAGCACTATACTTGCTCAGCGCTCAGATTCCACTGGCTGATGAACCCCCACTACCCTGTTGCAGGTTGTAAAAGCTGAGCACTGGTTTGGTTCCAAGACTTGCAGAGGGCACCCCTAATGGCAAATGGTGGCAGTGCATCTATCCACAGCCCTTCCAGAAGTAGATTCTTTTTCTTTCTTTCTTTTTTTTTTTTTTTGAGATGGAGTTTCGCTCTCGTTACCCAGGCTGTAGTGCAATGGCGTGATCTCGGCTCACCGCAACCTCCGCCTCCTGGGTTCAGGCAATTCTCCTGCCTCAGCCTCCTGAGTAGCTGGGATTACAGGCACATGCCACCACACCCAGTTAATTTTTTGTATTTTTAGTAGAGATGGGGTTTCACCATGTTGACCAGGATGGTCTCGATCTCTTGACCTCGTGATCCACCCGCCTCGGCCTCCCAAAGTGCTGGGATTACATTCGTGAGCCATAGCACCTGGCTCAATTTAATAATATTAACAGGAAGTTACTTCAGAGTTTTGAGGAGTACATGAGTAAATCATGTAAAGTATTTACAGTTCCTGGCAGGCAGTAAGTTTTATCATTATTATTCTTCTTTGATTCTTTTTTTTTTTTTTTTACTGCTTGAGATTACTATATCTGATTTTTTAAAATACAGAAGTTAAGTTTAAGTCAACATATAGTGATAACTTGCTATGAAGATGAACAAGACACATCCCTGCCCTCCAAGAGTTTATAGTTGGCAGAGATGGGTAAGCAGAAAGTAAACGAGTATACAAAATGGTATGGGTTATGATGGGAAATGTTTATGTTAATGGAGAAATAAAGCAAGAGTACATAACTCTTTCATAGGGTTGAGGTTTTTGGAAAAGGTTTTCCTTAAGCTGAGCTTTGATGAAGAGGCTAGGTTAAGGTGGACCTGGGGAGGACTCATCTCACCAGAGGGAATAACATGGAAACATTTCACAGAAACGTATGTCAGGTGAATCACAGACAGGACTCATTGTGACTAAAGCATATCCTGCAACATAAAGTTTTGTTGGGATCAATGAAGCTGGAGGGTGGATAAGGACCAAGACATCAGAAACAATAATGGATTTTAGGCAGATAATTGTCATGCTCATACTTGTCCTTTAGAAAGAATGCTTTGGCAGCATTGTGGAAATTTGATTTATGGGACCATGACTGAAGACAAAGAGACCACTTACAAGCCTATTGCAACTGTCTAGGGGATGAGGATCTGATTATAGGAGTGACAATAGGATATATAAAGACATCTAACTGCTTATGTTCTATGTTCAAAGTCAGAAGTTGAGAGGAAAGATGGTAGACAAACACTGAACCCTTTTCACCAATATATTAGGTTAAACCATATGAAACTGACTTACATAAATGGCAATGATGGCCGGGCGCAGTGGCTTATGCCTGTAATCCCAGCACTTTGGGAGGCTGAGGAGGGTGGATCAGGAGGTCAGGAGATCAAGACCATCCTGGCCAACATGGTGAAACCCCCGTCATGGAGTGTGCCTGTAGTCCCAGCTACTCAGGAGGCTGAGGGAGGAGAATCTCTTGAAACCGGGAGGCGGAGGTTTAAGTGAGCCGAGATCACCCCACTGCACTCCAACTTCGGCGACAGAGTGAGACTCTGTCTCAAAAAAAAAAAAAAAAGTTCTTTGCTCTGGGGTACGTTCAAAGCTGTGGCAACAACAGAAATGACTGTTGCATTTCATTGCCATCTTCCTAAAACACATTTTTATGGAGGTCTTTTGCACTCCTCCATAAATAGCCTTCGATTGCTTAATTTCCGATCGATTCTTCTTGAACCCACATAGCATTATTTCCGGGTACTTACTTATATTTAATTTTACAATTTTTTTTGCAAAAAGAAAAAAAAAAAGAAAAAGCTTTTTGTTGTTGTTGTTGTTCCTGTCTTGTTTCTGCAGCTCCCTAAAGTCTCGTCCCGCACAGTATTAGGCACTCAGTAAACAGGACACACTTTTAAAATTGACAGAATGCCAGACAATACCGAGTAACATAGTAATATTCCCAATCAAGAAATGTATCATCTCAAGCTTTAATGTGCATAGAAATCACTGAGGCAAATCTTGTTAAAATGCATATTCTGATTCAGTAAATCTGGGTGGAGCCCGAGAATCTGCATTTGTAATAAGCAACCAAGAGATGCGGATGTCGCTGATCTGTGACTTTGAGCAGTAAACATGTAAAGAAATGTTCAAAAGGTAGGCAGATGCTTTGCTCTAAAACATATTTTGCTTAGTGTTAATTAAATAGGAGTATGCTTAAGATGAAGCCAGGCCGAGCGCTTCTTCTCCAGCCCCCCAAACCTCCCCCTCCTTTTTCCATTTCCCCTCCGTGTCCAGCCAAAGTCCCCAACTCCTTAAACCGTAAAAACACAAGCAGCAACAGGCCCAGCCACTCAGGACGCGAGCTTGGATAACAAAGAAATAATCGTCCCTGCACTTACTAGTCTAAGAGCCGGGGGAGTCGATGGAGTCCGGGCTGTAGCCTCTCCCACGCCATAAAGAAAAATTCAAAATTAAATACTTGTCAGGGAGGGACCAATCGTAGACACGGTTTCTGCATGATTCGCTCTTCGGATAGGGTAGGAGCACAGCCTGGCTTGTGATTGGCTGAGGTAGCACAGCGTCCCGGCCAATCAGAGCTGAGGCGCTTCTGGTATGAACAAGGGGAAGTCGGGAGAGAAGGGGAGGGGAAGCAGGAGAGGAAAGAAGGTGTGTTACGTCCCCTCTGCTGTCGGTGGAAGCTCTAGTGTGATTGGTCGGCTCTTCTTCCCATTGGACCAATCGCAAGCTCCTCTCTACTGAGCCCTAACTATAAAATTGAAAGTAGAGAGGAGGGGGCAGGCAATGGAAAAAAAAAATGTGCACGGCAGCCAATCCTCTTGTGGCGTTTTGTGTCTTTGCCCAACAGAAAAATGTGTCTCATGCAGAGGGGCGTTACCCAGTCGCCAATGGGCGGGAGCCGGTGGAACGGAGGAGCCAATGAGTGCGAGACGTTGAGTGACAGCTGTCCAATGGAGGCCCTCCATGCTAGTATGGCTTGCGGCTTAAGCGCCGCCGCGGTCTGAGGAATGTCAACTATTCAACATGGAGGCGGAGGTCGATAAGCTCGAACTGATGGTGAGTGCAAAGTGAAGGAGATCTACTGGGTAGTTTATTTTTTCCCAATGGCCTCGAAGGTGGGGCACGAATTGGAGTCGCCGGAAACTCCGGGCAGCGGAGGCTGGACCAGAGTCGAGTTCCCTCCTCCTGCACCAAAGGGAGCCGCCACCGTGGTGTCTCAAGTGCCGCGGGGGGAAGGGGTTACATCCGGGAAACTCGTCGGGGAAATGGCGGGAGACGCTGAGGGTGCGGGGCCTTTGGAAGTCCTTGTTCCTTTCCCGCAGATTTACACCCCTCACGGAACTGCGCCCGGTGCAGACCGCGTTCAGTGTTTGTGCCAAAAAAACTGTGACCGGAACCGTCTCTAAGAGTCCCAAGGAGGGAGAGGTGGTTCACACGCCCAGGAAAGGGGAACCGAGGGTGGGGTGGGGAATAAACCGAGGGGGGCGGGGAGAAAGCCCAGTGGCGCCGACCCCGCTCGCGTTCCCGAAGGCGGGCGGAGAAAGTCTGAGAAAGGATGCTAGGCTTGTCTACACAACTTCCTAACGGCCAGGGAAGCCCCTAGACCCGTTTCTGTTTGGTCCGGAGGTGGCAGACCTCGGGTGAGAGAAGAGGTGTGAGCGAAGGGGATCGGAACCGCGAGCTCCTTTTCTGGAGCGCGGGCGGGATTGGGACAGGAAAGTCACCCTGCTCTCGAGTTGTCCACTTTTCATTCATCTGCGGAAGGAGAACACGGGGGTGAAGACTTAGAAAGCACTCCCGTGGTTGCAGGCGTGTTTGGCCTGCTCGGGGGCGCCCAGTTGGGGGGGGCTGCCCTTCTGCATTTCTTTAAGGATCTGTCCCTCATTGGCCCTCTTTATTCCCTCCCTCCTCTCCTTAGATTACCAGCTTGATCGCCCGCGCTTTTTTCCTCTTACTTCCCTTGTTCTGTCTTCAGTCCTTTTCGTCCTGCCTTATCCTTTTTTTTTTTTTTTTTTTTTTTTTTCTCCCCAGGTTGGGCTGCTTTCCTTAGAAACCTGGACTTCGGAGGAAGCGCCTGCCTCTGAGTTCCTGTCTTTTTTTGTTTGCTGGTCTATTAAAATAAGATTGGCCGGGCGCGGTGGCTCACGCCTGTAATCCCAGCACTTTGGGAGGCCGAGGTGGGCGGATCACGAGGTCAAGAGATGGAGACCATCCTGGCCAACATGGTGAAACCCCGTCTCTACCAAAAATACAAAAATTAGCCGGGTGTGGTGGCGCGCGCCTGTAGTCCTAGCTGCTCGGGAGGCTGAGAATCCCTTGAACCCGGGACGTGGAGGTTGCAGTAAGCCGAGATCGTGCCACTGCACCTGGGCCCAGGGACAGAGTGAGACTCCTAAAAAGAAAGAAAGAAAGAAAGAAAATAAGTTTAAGTTTAAAAAAAGTAAAAAACTTCTTTCTTCTTCATTTGTAATCAGTCCTTCCTCCCCATGCCACTCCCTGGCATTACTGCTTAGGTATCGTTTGTGCCTGCCCTGGTTTCTCCAAGCTAAATCTTAGGTCTCTTAACTTCTGCCTTGGAAAGGACTTGTGGTGATCCTGGAAGAAACCTCACTCACCCCCCATTCCCACCCCAGAAAAAGTGAGGCCTTGATGTATGTGATGTGCTAATGAATTGGAATGCCTCTCATATGCAAATTTAATTTTAAGGCTTTCAATTGCTTTTAACATCTGTTTAAATTTTCTCTGTGCAGCGTGTGTGGGGTTGGAGAAGTGTAGGGAAAAATGGCAGGGAAGAAGGGAGAATTTCCTGCAGATATTCACACGTGTAATAATGAACTTTTAGTTCTAAGTTTTATTATTTTTATCGTCTTTTTTTTTTTTTGAGACAGAGTTTCACTCTTGTTACCCAGGCTGGGGTGCAATGGCGCGATCTCGGCTCACCGCAACCTCCACCTCCTGGGTTCAGGCAATTCTCCTGCCTCAGCCTCCTGATTAGCTGGGATTACAGGCACGCGCCACCATGCCCAGCTAATTTTTTGTATTTTTAGTACAGACGGGGTTTCACCATGTTGACCAGGATGGTCTCGATCTCTTGACCTCGTGATCCACCCGCCTCGGCCTCCCAAAGTGCTAGGATTACAGACTTGAGCCACCGCGCCTGGCCTCGTCTTTTTAAAAACAAAATATTAAGTATTGTAATTTGATTTTTGTCAACAGGCTTAAACGTTAAGACTATCTTGCCCTTCTCCCATTCTGAATTCCTCCCTACGATACAGATATTTCTGCTTAAATTTATTTCTGCTAAATGATGCCCATTCTGCTTTTAACAGGTTGTTTGCTTCTCAAGTTGGCTGTTTAATTTTTAAACTTTGGCCTTTGCAATAGAGTCAGTATTCTCATAGGACTTCTTTAGATTGAAGAAATTCTCTTTTACGTGAACAATGATGAAGTAAACATTTTGAAAAAGTAGGTTTTAGAAAATTATGAGGTAGCCAGACATTTAAACTTTAGATATTGTTTGAATGATGGGGTAGTATTTAAATTCTTTTTGAAGACAGGAAGAAAAGAAATGAGGTTTTGCCTGGCGCGGTGGGTCAAGCCTGTAATCCCGGCACTTTGGGAGGCCGAGGCGGGTGGATCACGAGGTCAAGAGATCGAGACCATCCCGGTCAACATGGTGAAACCCCGTCTCTACTAAAAATACTGAAAATTAGCTGGGCATGGTGGCACATGCCTGTAATCCCAGCTACTCAGGAGGCTGAGGCAGGAGAATTGCCTGAACCCAGGAGGCGGAGGTTGCGGTGAGCCGAGATCGTGCCATTGCACTCCAGCCTGGGTAACGAGCGAAACTCCGTCTCAAAAAAAAAAAAAAAGAAAAGAAATGAGGTTTTTTTTCCTTTCTTACATCCTTGCAAGTAAATTAGTGGTAGCTTTTTTTTCCCTTTCAGTTTATTAGTTAGTTTCCATAATTATTCGGATTTAAAGATGAATATTTTTCATGGCTTTAAATATTACTGCTTTGAGACTTGATAGTAGAAAACAGTGCATCTCAGCTTCAGATTTGCCATGTGCTTTTAGAAAAAAATGTTATGCTTGTGGACCAATTTAGTTTCTAAGATTTTAAGGGTACATGATTTCCTGTGCTATCTTCTGATTTTTGGTTTTACATCAATTAGTAAAGGATTTGTCAAGGAACTAGCACTGATTATTTAATTTATAAAAAGAGACTACATAATATTTAATTTGAAAAGAAAGTGTTTATCCTAATTTTGTTGATACCTTAAATTTTTTTCATATTTTTCTTGTTTGTAATAACGTCCAATTCAGAAAACACTTGTTCTTTAAATTTTTTACACCTGATACTTAGCTACTAGAGTTAAACATCCTGATATTTGAGTTATGTGGCCTGGGATTTGACACCAAGACACTTACATTTCAGCTGTCCTTAATATGAGTCCATTTCTTAGTAGGCTCAATCTGACTAAGTAGTTGAACCGGACTGTTTAAAGAGAGGTTGGTGAAAATAACGGAAATGTATTTTTGCATCAATCAACATTATTAATGGGAGAATAGGCTTATTATAGGGCAATTTTTGTCCTCTAACTTTTTCCCCTTCACTTATTGATAGAGTGGTATTTGTTTAGCTTCCTTCTTTCCTGGAACTGCTAGTGATTGTACACAAAAGGTAATACAGTGTGATACTATGATACTATTTCTGTTTCCGGGTTTACATCTGACTTCTGATTGGGTTCTTATCTGTTAAAAAATTAGAATGTTAATTAGCTTGGAACTGAGGAAACTTGTTACTTAAATCTCAGTCCCACCTCCCCCTGTTATCATTTTCTTCTGATATTTCTAAGTTTGAAGGAAATGGGAATGCTTTCTGGCTATATTTAAGATTTCAGGAGTTAACTGAAATTTTAAAATCCCCTTGGATAATATTTAGTTAGGTAGGGTTCATGTCCTGTTTAGAGCACATTGATTCCCTTCCATTGTTATAAGGGCCTTTAGTAAAAAGCCTAAGATGGTAAGTGCTTTTGTTTTTTCTTTGTATTGTGGGTTAGATTCCAGAGTGATAGATTAGGTAGACATTGAGAAACTTATTTTACTTTCCATTTGTTTTCTTTGATACTTTTATTCAAAGAGCTTGTTTTTATGTGGCAGTTAATTAGTAAATTGCCTTGCAGAAGGAGCTAACCAACATCTCTGCAGAGAACAGAATTATTTTTTACAACTTTGCCTTAGTAGTAATTATAACTGGTTTTGTTAATACCAATCCTTAAGTATTAACAATACCCATTCTAATTACTATTAAAGCTTAAGGCGTATTTACAAAATTCCTTTCTACCTCGATGCATGTTTCTGTTTGAATGTTAATTTGTATATTAGGCATTAATAAGCAACATTACTTTGATATTTAAGTCTTACCCTTTAAAAAAAAATTGATATAAATGTTTTTTGGTTTTGGATGTTTTCTGTCCAAAACGGCAATCCTACTTTAAATTCGTTTCACACTGAAGCTTCAACTGATGCAAGGTGCTTTTGTGTTCCTTTCCTACTTATTACTGCTAACGAATGCTCTGACTTTATTGCACTACTGTACTTTACAGCTAGCAGTGCAATAGTATTGTCAAAGCATCTGAAAGCAGGATGCACATCAGAATTTTGATTCTTACCTCACATCTTTCTTCAGTATCAGTGAATAATTTATCACAGCGTTTGTTGCTGAAAACTATAATGTTACTAACAGTGTATCTTTTAGAAAGTCATAATTTGAAAAAAAAACTTTAATTAAAAACTCACTATTTTACTGCATTATGAAACACATCTAGAGAATTTTCTTATATCTAAGTAGTTATGGTTTGTCTAATTGAATAATACTTTATAATTTGTTGCTTTCTGTTACATATTTGGATAGGTTCTGGCAAACTTTAGTTTTATTTGAGTTTTATGATGAATTGGTTGTGATGAAAACAATTTCTGCTGTATATTTTCCCTACAGTTACTTGTCCCAAGTCTTTTTTTTTTTTTTTTTTGGAGACAGAGTTTTGCTGTTT